GAAAACTATGGTTGACTTACGAGAGAAGAAGTGATAGATAAGGTAAGATCATGATCCGAGTGCATACCATTTATCATCATTTAAAACATCAAATCACTTTTTTTTAATCTTTTATTTTTTTTAATTATTCTTTATCTTTTTTTTTTTTGTTTTTTTTTTTGGCATCGATCTATCGTCTTAGATGAGGCTATCTTAGAGGAATTTGTCAAAATAGGAGAAAAATGTTTTTGGTTTCGAAAGAGAGTGATCGCCCTCTAGCATTTGCAAGACATATTTTGAAAGTTGATTAGTGTTGAACAATTTTGAATGAGTTTGGCATTTTATTCTCTTTAATTTGGATGACATGAAATGACAAGGATGCTTTCAAATAGACATCTCTTGATTTCAAGTTGATAATAAAATCATGCCATGATAATAGAAATTTCTTTTTCAAAGAAACAACCCAATCAATGAAAATCACAACACTTTTGCAAATGAAATTCAAAAATTCAAAATAAGGTAAGATTTCATTCATAAAACTAACACATTCATACTTCTCCGACGAGCTTCGGGTATTCTCCTCACATTCATTATTGTGCATATTATAATCAAAGTTATGCTAGCCAATCTTTTTTTTTATAGCACGAGTCACTTACTATTTTTATTTTTAAGATATGATCATATCGAATGTTCCAAAGATAGGGTGAAAGAATAAAACACAATAGAAAAAAAAAAAAAAGAAGACAAATGTGGTAGTTTGAAAAAAAATTTTGCAAGATCCCATAAATTGATATCATATGAGAGTATGATAGATAAATACAATAAGGACTTGGCCTTGGAAACAAAAGGAGCTTCTTCATCGGACTATTCATTCAACTCCCTCCCCCAAATAGCCTCGTGGCCAAGCTTATCGATAACAAAGACATCCTTAAATGTATTGATAGAAAACACCATCATTTATGAACTATCAAGCACTAACCCGGACTATGTGACTTCGTTCTTAGCATTGGCTTTTTCTACCCTCAAGATGTTCACTATCATAGTATGAGGTGATTGACTCAAACTCGAGTCTTTGCTACATAAATCGGTAATGTATGAAGACTTTTCTAATATCCTTTCTTTATACCCTTAAGAAGCCTAGAACTAGCATGGTTTGTACCTCTTAATAAAATTCATGGCAATCATCAACATCTTGTCCACTCCCTTTATGGAACTTATGGGAGGACTAAACATGAATAAGAGCTTAAAACTTGGATGGTTTCTTATTAATGCTGACGAGTAGATAACATTTCAAACAAATTAGATATGGAAATTTTAGAATTGTCTTTTGTTATCACATCCAATGTCATCCAATAATAACATATTCAATCCACCGATGACGACATGGTTGGAGAGGCCTAGATAATATTTGATATTATGACTTGTAGGATTACGGCACTTTTCAAGAATCATGGCATTTGAAATCAAGCATTTATCTACTATCAAAATGAGGGTTGTGTATACCCATATCCTCAATGGCTTTGAGACATTCTTTAATGGCACTAAGCTTTTCGGTTTTGGTCTTTAAGCTCATTTTTTCTTTCAAATTTTTATTGGCGGCAAAATTAACCATAAGAGTTGCTTAAGTTTACAAATTATATGACTACCATGGAATCGAGCCAAAGACTTTAAAATGAATATAAACCCAAGTGTAGTGTGATTGGTCGGATTCTTAATGGTGATAACCTCTTAAAGGAGAGTGGAGAAAGATTGCATAGAAATTACGACTTGAGTGGTGAGTGTCGGTATGATAGTGAACACCTTAGGGTTGACGAGTTGATTAACCCATTTCTTGACTATGAGGCACTTCGGTAGATGCGCAAGTTTGTAGACTTTTCTCAAATAAACCTAGAAACTTTTATTTTCAAGGCACTTAACTCCTTCGATGGCTTTGCTCAAGTTAAGCCCTTTTTTCACCTTTTTTCATTTTCCATTCTTGCTTTGGCTTTAGTTGTTAATCTCATGGGGGAAATGCGGTTTTGATATGATGACTTTTGTTTCTCCAGGTAAATAATAAAGCATAGCAACATAAACTAAAGACACGTGTGATCTGAATATGGAGTAGTCTTCATATGGTGGTGATAAGAGTATTCAATTATTGATTCTTTGATCCTTATAAATTTGAATTTCATTGGTAACCTTTAAAAACTACGGCATGATGGATTGCCTAGTTGTTAATAGTTTAAAGATGGAGTTGAGTTCCATTAGTAACCTTTGGTATATTTTGATCAAGCTAGTGGAATTCCTTTGGTAATCGAACATTGCATAAATTTGGACTTAAATCCTCTTATGACCTATCTAAAAACATTTATAACCAATTTTTTGATCAAGGTTTCAATCCATCCGACTTTCCTAATGAATTTATACAAGAAACATAATCCTAAGGTTTGATTCTAGTCATTACATGATCGGATAGGATCTATCTAAGTCTTAACGAGTCCCTTTTGGCTTGGGAGAGCGAGGTCGACCAAGTGCGAAGGTGGTAATCATGGGGACCATAGATTACCTATCGCGATAGTGACAACTTTCCAAAAAAGTTAAGGTTTCGTAAGTGTTACTCGGGACAAAACCTATCGGGGCACCAATAATTCCTCCATATATCCTAAGGCAAAAGCAAATGACATTTAAAATTATGCGAGTGTAGTGTGTGAGGGCACGACTCCATATCCGGTTTCAAAATACAAAATAAAAACTAAAAATTAAATGACTAAAGTTGCATGGAAGAATAACATAAATAGCACACATGAATACAAATCCATTTCCACCACACGATAAGAAATTAAATGATTAAATCCAAATGGAAGAACAACATAAATAACGCGCGCTCACACACACACACATATATATATACACACACACACATTTTCACCATACGATAAGAAAACGAGATGATCAAACAAGCAAAAATTACTCATATAAATAAATAGGCATAGAGACATAACAAACAATAGGAGATTCAAAACATAGACATTCAAAGCTCGACCCTAGCATGGCATTATCTCTAGCGGAGTCTTCAATTCAGTCGACATAGGCCACTGCGAGGAGGGTTAAAACAAGGAGTTTCCACCTAGTTAATCGAAGAGAACTAGAAAAACATACTAGTCTATATGGATATCTAGGTCAAGGGCCGGTTATGTATGAGGAAGATATGATATCACCACCATCATGTCCTACCTAAGGTAGGCTATATTATTTACCTATGAATATAAAAATCTACTTTTTTACTATGCTATATTTCTATGCCAATTTAAATGAGTTTATTTTGTAAGAATATGAAGTATGATGGTTCGGATGTAAAAGAGGATAGTTTGGAAGTTTAGGTCGATCTAGGATCGATACTCACGTACCCAATAGGAAAAAGGTGAAAATTTTTGAAATTTTGGCTAATCATTAATGAACTTAACCTATTACCGACAAACGGGTGAGTTTTTAAAGATTAATAGCCTTTTATTGTTATAATCGGCGAGTCATTAGTGACTTTGATCACACAAGTGGGAAGCCCCAGATGAATTTGAGTCATGAGTTTGAAGCCAACAAAAACCTCATCACACGAGTTAAAAGCTATCGACCACTTTATTTAGCTTGGGTAAGGAACGAATAACTATTTAGAAGCCAGCGATAGCTTCGTCACGAAGTGAGAAGCTATCGACGACTCCGTTTCGGACAATGAGACACTAAAATTATTTTGAAATCATCGACGACCTCATCACATAAGTGAGAAGCTATCGGCGACTTCATTTTGATAAAATAAGAAACAAAAAAAACAAGAAACGAGGAACAAAAAAAAAAACAAAACGAGAAAAATAGGAAACTCTAGACAAGAAACAAGCACAAAAAATAGATAAAATGATTTCGAAACCCTCCGAAGGCTTCATCATATAAATGGAAAGCTACCAAAGACTCATTTTAACATTACAATCGGGAATGAGAGTCAATTGAACCATAAAAAATAGCACAAACTACGCATTTTAATGGATATGTATAAAAAAAGGAAAATAGAGTATTTTGTCCTTTAATATCCATTACCGCAATGTTTGTTTCAACCACATTTAAAATATGGATATTTAAACAAAATACAATGGTTTCATTTACACAATTAAATAAGCCAATCATTTTTAATCATCATTTCTTAGAAAAGAATACAATGGTTTTGGAATTTTACACAAAAGCTGCGAAATTTTGATATTTAAAATAAAGTCAATTTCTCTCTTCAATCTCGATGAAAGCCGATAATTCGGTTAGTTGAAAAAAGGAGAGAAATTTTTTTTTGGCAAGACATGTTGCGATTTCTACTAAAATGACCAAAAACTCCTCCTTTGCCTATGCGAATACTCTAAAAGTTACTGCAAAATTTTTCAAGTTTCGAAACTTTACAAAGTTTCTTGAAAACTCAAAGTGGCTTTTGTTGCTATTTTTTCTAATAAAAAATAAAAGAAAAATATAGTCTACAACATCATATTGTTCACCGCCAACACGGTCTCACATAAGAAAAAATTTTATTCTTTTTTTGTTATCTTTTTCTTTCTTTTGTTTCTCTTTTCCTCTTTTTTTTTTTAATGGTTAGCTACTGCAACTATTCATAACTAAAAAAACCCCTTTTTTATGTATTTTTGTTTCGTTGCACCCAAATAAAAGATGTTATACATGTGTTTCTTAGGCTCGAAGATGAAGGATGAAGGATGGCTACTTTGTGGGTTATAATAAAGGGGATGTTTTAAGAGGTGTTTCGGGAGGTGTATTGTGGACTATTTTTAGGTGGTTGTGGGAGGTTGTTTGGTGGCTGTTTTAGGGCTATAAAGGGAGGGTTGTTTGGTAGCTAAATGGGGGCTGTTTGGTGGCTATTTTAGGGCTGTAATTTAGGGGCTATTTAGGTGAGGAAAAAGAGGTCAACATGCGGGGGTTTATTCGAGCTAGAGTAGGAGGGGTGTTAAGAGACAAAGAGAGCTTGGCAAAGAGATGTTTGTCTCACTTGGTCGCCTAACATGGGAGCTAGCTTAGGCACTTATCGAGATGAGCATAAGGAAAGGGGTGCTAGTATGGGGGTTGTCTTGGAAATGACAACTATGCGACACATGAGCTACTTTTGGGTGAAAAAAAAACCAATACGCAAAGACAAGAAGGCTACTGCAAGGTTGTTCGTGCGAGAGGGATTGTCGGGAGGTGATGGAGGTTATGTTATGGGGTTGTTCGGGTTATGGTGAGGGGGATCGTTGCTTTGGGTTAGGCGAGAGCTTTAGGTTAGAATGTGACGAGATGGGTGGTGGAGTGGGCAAAAGAGCTGGAGTGGCATATAACATGTGTGTGACGAGGGGGCACTAGAGTGGTATGTGGGAGAGGGTCGACTAGCGTGTGTGTAGGTGTGAGAGAACACTGGAGTTGCATGTGGGAGAGGGATTGCTAGCGTGTAGGCTGGCGAGAGAGAGGGCGATGGCGTGAAGGAAAAAGGCTAGTGAGAGGGCTAGAGGGGTATGTGTGTAGCCACGAGAGATGGCTAGCTTGTGTATGTGTGGACGTGGGAGATGGTCGAAATGGGTGAGAGCTTGGTGCGGGTGAGGGGTTATGTTGTGGGTTGTTTCGGGTGTGGGGATACTTATGCATAGGTGTTTTCTCCATTGAGGAAAAGGCTAGCTATAAGGAAGAGAACACCTGTTATGTGGGGGTTGTTATGGAGGTTATGAGTGAGACAAGAGCTAGTATGTGTAGGTGGAGAAAGTTGTAGGTTGTATGGGTCGGTTTCGAGTGATGAGGAAGTTTCGGCAAAGATGGAGAGAGGCGGCTAGAAAGGTTTTCAAATAAGAGAGATGAACGGTGCATGTATAAAAAATGCATGCAAAGGTTTCATAGGTAAGGTTTGTGATAAAATTTTAATTTGGTCCCTAGTTCTTCATCATCCATTCATCATCCATCGATTTGAGTTTAATTTTGGTTTTCATTTCAATGGGACCTTTATTTCTAACTTTTTATTTTTTCAATTAACCCCTTTTTCTAAGCTGCCTATTCTAATTATTTTTTTCTTTTTCCTTTTCTTTTCTATTTTTTATATTTTTTTCTTTTTTGTTTTGCTTTATCATTTTTTGGTATTTTTGTAATAATAAATAAAAGAGGAGAAAAAATTAGGTGCTAACAATAATTATACCATTTAGGTATGTAATGTTTTCAATTTTTTTTCAATTGGATCCTTGTATCTTTTAATTTTAGTCCTAAAGTTTTCAATTGTTTCAATTGTATCCTTAATTCTTTTACTTTTAATCTTGATTTTATTCAATCATACCTCTCATTAATTAAGTCATGCAATTTCATATTTTTTGTATTTTTATATATTTTGTATCTTTGATTCCTTTTCTTCTTCTTCTTTTTCATTTTTTATTTTTTGTTGTAACTACTAAAATAAAAAATAATAATAATAAAATAATAAATAAAAAGGATAGTAATAAGAATGTAAAAGGGATAAAATCGAAGGAAAAAATATACAATCCAAAATTTGGATTATGACATTATGCATGATGAGAACCTATAGATACACTTTTTCCATTAAAGCTTGAATGGATTTGCTTTGAGTTGGTTCATGAGACTAGATAATGCTAAGATTAAGAAGTGGACGGATTTGGCCGATGTTTTTATAAAATAATATAAGTTTAACATAGAGGTTGCTCCAAATTTATCTTATTTGTAGAGTATGGAAAAAAGTTTAAGAGAAACCATCAAATAGTATGTCCAAAGGTGACATGAGGTGGCAGTTAAGATTTATCGACCATTGCTCGAATAAGAGTTGATCACTATTTTTTCAAATACTTTCAAGACACCATATTTTGAGTATTTGATTAGAAACTCATCCTCTAATTTTACTGACATTGTTATCATAGTTGAGAGGGTAGAATAAGCAATCGAGAGATGAAAAGACTCTTGATGGTTCTAAGAAGAAGAAAAACGATGGTGCCAAGAGGATAGATGGTAAGATGCTTCAAATTGAGACCGAAACCTATCAATATAAGAATCGAGAGAGTAATGTAAGAAAACATGGTAACCATGGTAGTTTTAGCAACACCCAAAACCCTTTATTTACTCAACTCAACCATTATTACCAAAACAACTAAGATCATGAAAAGCAGTTTGAACAACTACTACACCTACCTTTCTCATTATGTGAAATATTTAAGAGTACGGTAAGTATTAAGTAGATCCCAATCCCTACCAACTCGATACACCCTATTTATCCTCCATGATACAAACAAGATGAGATATGTGAATATCATTCTTGCGTCTGCTAAGCATAACATCAATGATTATTCTGTTTTTAAGAAGAAGCTTATTGGATTTGATCAAGTAATGTTGGATCGAGTTTGGATGGTGGTCTATATGTTCCCAATGTGTATACAAACCCACACTCAAACCATATAATTGTCAACACGGGGGATGGAGATACTAAATGAGCTTAAAAATTTATGGTAAAGATGCACGCTCATACTTTACAACTTCGATCTTTTATTTTTTTATTGAATTTTAAATTCTATTTTCCAAAAATATCTTACTATAAGTGGATGAAATCATATCTTTGAATTGAAAAAAAAGTAGTTTCTATGCTTTTGTAATTTCATATTGTTTGATCTAAAATCAAAAAATATATATTTAAAGTATTATTTAGCATTGCATCTTCTTCTATCAAAAAAATATAATGACAATGTCATTCAAAAAAATTTAAAAAGATCAAATTTCAAAGCATGATAGATAGATGCTAGAGGCAATCCTTTATTTCATTAAAGCCTAAAAATACATTTTTCTTTCCTAATATTTCTCTGTAAAAAATAAGGGGCAATCCCTCTTTTTTTTCTTTCTCAAATAAACTCCCAAAAGAAGTTTTTGCCTAGCGAAACATCATAAAACCCAAATTTGAAAGACTAAATGATTGATGTCCTAAATAATGATGAATAATATATCATTGGGTCATGATCCTAAATTACATTCATTATTTCTCTTCTTAGGTTAACCTAAGTGCTTTTCAAATTAATAATTTTTTTAAAAAAATAGAGTAGCTTTTATCGAGCATATAAGAATCAACCTTTGAGATCAAGAAAGGTCATCTTTCATATGTCTCACAAAAAAATTAATCTCTTGTTGTCATAATAACCCAAACTAGAATCCCTCATATTGGAGGCATAATGCAAAGTCCATAAATAGTCAATAAAACTCCAAAAAAAAAAAATCTATCAAAGGAATCCCTTCGACGATTCCAAAAATAAAAGAGAATATAAAAAGAACAAAAGGAAGAAAGAAAAAAAAAGGAGCATTCCTAATGTAAATTATAAGTCAATATGGGGAGTAAAGTCCAAATAAAAAGACAATGAGAATTGAGACTAGAAAACCAAGTCACAATAAAAAAAATTACAAAGTCATTGTAGTAATTCTAAAAAAGGAAATTTTTATGAACATTAGCATGACACGAAGCCTAACCAACAACTAAAGTAACTAAATCTAAGCAGCATTGCCTAAAGAGGGTTCTATAGACTACAAAGTGATCCTACATCATAAGATCCATAAAGTTTTTTTGAGCCTTTATATATCTACTTTCTTCATAAGCCTAAGTCACGACCTACATTATATGCTTTTACTAACCCTTTTTGATCAAAGACTAAGAAAAAGAAGAATGATTGAAAAAAATGAAATGAAACACTAGAAAACATGACTAGCTAATGCGTAGTTTGTCATTCCTTATGACATAAAATCATAAGTTTTCATCAACTAATATAAAAGGAAAGAAAAATAAACAAAATCAAGATATTCTTAAGTACGACTATCCTTCGAACCTAATTTCTCAAAATAATTTCGTTTAAGTCTTTTTCATTCACTCAAAATAGAATTATCATTAACTAATCATCTTCAATCATATCAAAAACCAATTTTTATATATAAATCTTACATGATTCAAGCACACTTTTCTTACTTAAGCTTAACAACTCTCTTGAAGAAATTGCATCATAGCATTTGAATGTCATGGTTTGTCTCTTAATCAATTAAATTTAACATCTTCATAAATGAAAGTACTTTTATTGGAACATCCTTGCATTGCTTTCAAATGATTTGAATTGCATTCAAGAGAATCATTCAAATTCACAACTTAATTCATAAAAACCAAATGTTTATTCAATTATCTTTCTCAAAATATAACAAAAATTTCAAAAGCAATTTTTAAATCATGATGCAAGTAATAAAAGATGAAATTTGAGCACAAACGAGTAGTTATGCTAAGAGAATGGTAAATGTTTAATCTCAACCGAGTACTTAGAGCATCTCATGACTCGACTTGAATAGTAATTCATAAAATTAAAAATGCTTAAGTGTAAGGCCAAGGACCTAACAACTCTAATCAAATTCAATAACTAGTCAAACAATGGTGTTATCATGTTAGTTGGAGCAATGGTAATCAAAATAGCTAAACTCATCAAGCTATGAGCAATGAGCGAGTCTTAAGAGAGGATAATAACTCAAAAAAAGTTTGACAAGCAATCAAAGTAGTTAGGCATGGTCTTGTAGGGGTAGATCATAACGGGTGGATGGTTATCAATTTTAAAAGTTCAAAAAAGTCCATCTACCTCAATTGGAAAAAAAAAGTGAAAAAAAACTAAGCTTTTAAAAGAATAGTGATCAAGGCCTAGGGGCAAAGAAAATTTTGACAATACCGTATAATAAGGTTCAATACAAAAGTCCGGATGGTCAAGAATGAAACACAAAAGAGGGAGTTAAGTGTCGACAAGGTGGTGTAGGCTACCTTTCTCATAAGTAAGAAACTAACAATTGTAATTAACCTTATTGATATATTTCGGGAATATCATTACGAAGCTAAGAAATTTGAAAGTCACAAGATCAAGAGGAAACTTATGTTTTTCTTATGGAATCATCATTTTAGGCAAGACTATTTAGCAATCATCATTATCCAAGCTTGGTTGCCTAACGATAGATTATCATTTTAGGCAACACTCGCCTTATAGTAGACAATCATTTTAGGAAGGGTCGCCTCATAATAGGTCATTATTTTGGACAAGGTCATCTCATAATAGACCATAATTTCAAGTAAGGCCGCATCACAATAAACCATCATTCTACACAATGTTGCTAATTTAGTTCATTGTTAGGCAAGATTACCAAATAATCATTTTTTATTTTAGGCAAGATTGATAAATTTAGTTTTCTCCAAATATTTTAGGCTAGTACAAATTCAAAGGGTGAGGCACTAGCAACTTTGGAAGGGATTAGGATATGTAGGAAGAATAACTTATTAGCCGACATCACAGAGGGTGACTCCTCATTGATTTTAGGGGGTTTAATTCACTCATTTGCATGCTTGTGGAATCTTCTTATATCTTTAGAGCTTTTTGGAGCAATTGGACATATTCATATGAAAGTTAATATGATATCGGATAGAGTAGCGACTTGGGCTTTTCAACACAAATCATGCAAAGTAGTATTTGTTTCCAATGAATTACCTTTCTCATATCACACAAGCTATTGCGAGATGACAAAATGGGATTGCATAACTTTCATCCATTAGTATAAGGTTTATACTCTAATCATAAAATAAGCTAAGGTCTTGTTTAATCAAGTTATCAAGTGCTTTCCTGTAACTATTAATTTTTTAAGGGATTTGGCCTTTAGTACTCCTACGATGGTAAGAAAGACTATTTATGTCCGCCCTATGTACTATTCATGTTTTTTTAATACATTTGT